CCAGTGGGTGACAGAGCCTGGGAACTCTGTGGGTGACAAATCCTGAGATTCCTGTGGGTGACACAGCCTAGGGTCCCTGTGGGTGACAAATCTGGGGTCCCTGTGGGTGACAGAGCCTGAGATTCCTGTGGGTAAAATATCCTGGTGTCCCTATGTGTGACAAATCCTGCGGTCCCTGGGAATGACAAATCCCTGTAGGTGACAAATCCTGGGGTCCCTGTGGGTGGCAGAGCCTGGGGTCCCAGTGGATGACAATTTCTGGGATTCCTGTGCATAACAAGGCTTGGGATTCATGTGGGTGACAAATCCTGGGGTCCCTCTGAATGACAAATCCTGGGGATCTCTGTGGATGACAAATCTGGGGTCCCTGTGGGTGACAGAGCCTGGGATCCCTGTGGGTAAAATATCCTGGTGTCCCTATGTGTGACAAATCCTGGGGTCCCTGTGGATGACACAGCCTGAGGTCCCTGTGGGTGGCAGAGCCTGGGATCCCTGTGGGTGACAAATTTTGGGGTCCCTGGGGATGACAAATCCTGGGATACCTGTGGGTAAAATATCCTGGGATCCCTGTGGGTGACACAGCCTGGGGTTGCTGTGGATAGCAGAGCCTGGGGTCCCTGTGGGTGACAAATCCTGGGTCCCTGTGGATGACACAACCTGGGCACGACAAATCCTGGGATTCCTGTGCGTAAAATATCCTGAGGTCCCTGTAGGTAACAAATCCTGGGATTCCTGTGCATAACCAGGCTTGGGATCCCTGGGGATGACAAATCCTGGGGTCCCTGTGGGTGACACAGCCTGGAGTCCCTGTGATAACAAATCCTGGGGTCCCTGTGGGTGACAAATCCTGGGTCCCTGTGGGTGGCACAGCCTGATGTCCCTGTTGGTGACAGAGCTTGGGATCCCTGTGGGTGGCATAGCCTGTGGGTGACAAATCTGGGGTCCCTGTGGGTGACAAATCCTGTGGGTGACAAATCCTGGGGTCCCTGTGGGTGACAAATCCTGGGGTCCCTGTGGGTGACAAATCCCGTGGGTGACAAATCCTGGGGTCCCTGTGGGTGGCACAGCCCATCAGTCCCTGGGGCAGCAGGGGTGTCTCCATCACTGCTCCCAGAGTAGGAGGATGGAGCAGCCAAGCTCTGGGGTGGGGATGGGCCCTCAGTGGGGGCTGCTCAGGGATCCCCCTGCCCCCTCCCCACCCCCAGCAGCCACTGCTGGCCCAGCTGCCCCCCCAGCCCCTTGTCCTTGCTGCAGGAACATCATGATCCAGAAGCACGACAGCATCACTGTGGCAGTGCACAAGCTGCTGTCCTGAGCCCTGGCACAGCTCTGCCCCAGCTCCTCCCTGCACTGCCACCCTCCCTCTGGAGCTCCTCACCTGGGATGAAGGCTCTCCCTCCTCCCTGCCTGCCTCTCCAGCTCACATTTCAGCCCCTGTGCTGCTGAGGATGAAGCATGGGCACCCCCCAGGCCCTGTAACAAGCAGATCCTCCCTGCTCTATTTGGGGGGGGGCTCATTTGTTGAAAAAAATCAATAAATTAACTGTAAAAACCTTCCTTCCTTCTCTTTGCTCTAGCTGGCAAGGTAACTTCTCCCACTGCCTTCATTAGCATTTCTCTGGAGAAACATTGGAACTCCGGGGGCTCCTCACCAGAAAAGCTTTCTGAGGAATTTCTCCCAGGAAACATTTCACCTCCCCAGGTTAAACATTCTGTGGGAGCTCTTGCTCGCTGTGCCTTGGGTTGAAGTTCAAACCTGGCCCTGGGAGATGTGAAGGGATCTTGGCAATGTCCCCACAAACCCAGGCCCGTCTTGCTCTCACAGATTTGAAGTGCTACAGGAAACAATCCTGCAAAAAGTGGGGGAGCTGCTGCACCCCAATGGTTCCTGTGTGCTGGGGAGGGAAAAGGAGCTGGGCTGCAGCAAGGCAGGGGAAGGGAGGCTTCACAGCAGAGCATGAGCGAAAAACATGAGATTATCGCCGCTAGAAGTGAAGAGATGGCATTATTTTCAAGCTAAAATGATTTATTGCTCAGATAAACATCAGTCTCAGAGGCTGTGAGATTTTAGAGGAGGAAGCTGTCAGCCATAGCTCAAGAGCAGCACAAGATTTTTTCTTATAAGGCAATATAGAACTTTCTAAACCAACAGAAAAGGCCACAGGGTTTATTTTGTTTTTCCAACCTACCACCTTTACTTATTTCTGCAGATACTTTTATCTAATGGGTGTTTAACTCACAAGTTTTAACTTAATATTTCTATTATAACTTCTAAACTCCCAACCTACTCCATACTATTTTATTACTACACTTTAAACCTTTCACTATCTTACCCATACAGTTTCTCACTTTCCTAAGGCATATCCTTACTTACAACTGTAGAAACATAAGGAATATAAATATTGCATAGAAAACGTTATATAGCAATATAATCATAATTACACTGCAGAGAGCATCCCTGTCCCCACTGATGCCAGTTTTCTGTGACCTCAGGAGTGAATCCCTCCTGGATTCACTCAGCTCAGCAGGAGCAGCAGGGCTGTGCTCACCCAGGAGCTCGGGTAGATTCACAGCGAGGCAGGGAGCTGTGAAAAATGCTAATCACTTGGGTTTTTTAAATTTTAAAAAGTTTGATAGTAATAAAATTGTTATAAAATTAATAATGCAATTAGAGTAATAATAATTTGGACAATTTGGATTAGGACAATATGAGACAATAGAAACAAAGAGTTACAGACAGTCTGGGTGCCTCTTTCTGGGCAAAATAAACCTGAAAAAGGACCCACATTAACAGAGGATTAACCCTTAAAAGCAACAGCCTGTTGCATATTCCTACACCTCATACATGATGCATAAATTCCATTCAAACACAGGATTCTGTCTGGGCAGTGTCAGCTTCTTCCTCTGAATCCTAACAGCACCTTTGAGGCGGGAAGAAGTTCGTATCTTCTGATAAGAGGGCAATAAATTATTTTTCTCTCTAAAATTCAGGTGTCCTGTGGCTGCTATCTCAGTGTGAGTCCTTTCTTTACATCCTTTATCGATGCACCGAGTCCTTTACCTTGACATCTTCATGCTTTTTATAAGCTACAAGAATGTAAAATTTGGTGGGTGATTGGTTGATGATTTATGATCATGGTTTGTATTTTTGTTTGGTTTTTGGGGGGGGTTAGTTCTGGGGTTAATTCTATGTTTGTTTAGGGGTGGTTGTGGAGTGATGATGACGGTTGTTTTTGATGCTAGGAAATATAGAGGAAGGTTAATTGAAAGTGTATTGATGACAAATGATTTGGATAATGTAGGGATATATGGTTTAACGATTTGACAAAAATAAAAAGTGTCAAGATACTTTAAAGAAAAGTATCCTACATAGCATAGTTTCTATTTCAACATTTCTTACAACCTAAAACTATATTTAGCAGACTACTTAAGAGAATTAATACAGCATCACTTTCTAACACAACATGTATTATATTGTTATAAATAAGAAGCTTGATTAGGCCAATATCCAAGCAGCAATCAATTTATTATTTAATATGGTAAAGTATGAGCAATACAGCGCTGGGTACAGTGGGGGAAGTTTTCCCTCCAACTGCACACCCATAGTTGAGGCTTACAGGTATTTGTAGGGGTACTCATCAGCTTTCTCAGCAGTTTCTATTCCAATTTTTACTCATCAGCAGTTTCTATTCCCAATTTTTACGTCACAATTCTATACACTATTGTGATTTAGTTTTTCTCAGGATGTATCCCAAAAGGAGCATCCCCAGATGGTGCTGGTCTGGTTTCTGAAAGAAGGAAGCAGAATCCCATCTGGTGAGGTCCAGCTCCCCCGATGTGGGTCCACCTTTTAATTGCAAGGACTATAAATCTCATAACAGTGATGTCCAGCTTCCCTTGGTCAAAACCATAAATCCTTGAGCTGATGTTCATCTTCCTTTCTCAAGCTGTTTTTCTCTGCTTTGTTAAGGTGTGAGATAAGCATGTTTCCTTTATATATATTCCAAAGCTATAGTTTCAAGGATGCAAGCAATATTTTAAAATTATACTTCAAAAGGTTATTATTGCAGAGCTCTTTAAGGATTAACTACAAGCAAAAAGCAACATCCTTAACGCTTTAATTCCAATGTTCCTAAATCAACCAAGGTTAATTGCAAACAAAAGATAGGTTCAAAGGCCTTCTTCCATGCTTTACTTTCCTCAGTTATTGTTAGAATTTGTTTTTATAACTGTCCCATGGTCGGTCTCCACACATCTCACAATCACAAATACACACGTTGCCTGTGTGTACCTGACACCAAACACAGCTTTGTATTTCACAATATTCATTTAAATATTCGCAAAAAGCCAATCGTAAAATACGTATTTTTCACAGAGCCAACCCTCGGGGCTGCAGCACGCTCAGTTTTCCATCCTGTCCCCGCTCAGTGATGCTGTTCCCCCGCAGGGACCGGGCTCTGCCCCAGCCCGGCTCGGCTCGGCTCGGCTCGGCCGGGTCCGGAGCTCTCCCCGCGATCAGAACTTTGCAGGCTCCCCCTCCTTTTCCTTCTCTGCAGGGTTTCTGCTCCGAACGCTCCGGGTTTCCTGTTCCCAGCTGGGCAAGGGGAGGGACTGCCGGCCCTGGGGCCTCGCAAGCCGAGCTCTGCCTCCAGAGAGGAGGAGGAGGAAGAGGAGGAGGAGGAGGATGGGTCCGTCCCCCCAGCCCTTGCCCGGCTCCATGTCCCGCTCAGCACCGACACCATCCTCATCCTCACCGCACGGGAATGAAGGAGCAGAATCTGGGCTGCCAGGTCAGGGAGGGGGAATTTAATCTTTGGGGCAAAGAGGCTCTGAAAAGACTGAAGAAGCTCTGAAGATATTGAAGATGTTCTGAAGATATTGAGGAAGCTCTGAAGAGACTGAAGAAGGTCTGAAGAGACTGAAGAAGCTCTGAAAACATTGAAGAAGCTCTAAAGATATTGAGGAAGCTCTGAAGGTATTGAAGAGGCTCTGAAGATATTGAAAAAGCTCTGAAGAGATTCCTCTTTGCAGTCGACAGTCCCGGGGAGGATTTTCCAGCATGCAAGGGGGTAAGGAAAAGTTCCAGTTCATCGCCCCAGGCGCTCCAGGGTCCAGCTGCTCCCTAGGGCAGGATCCTGCCCCTGCCAGGGGCACAGGGTGGGTGAGAGGATGGGAGCTGAGAACGCTGCAGTGGGAGAGCTGGCAGAGAGCTCTGAGGGATCCCTGGGCTTCTGGCACAGCCCAAACTGCCAAAGCAGCTCTAAGGCACGTAAAGCTGAAGTGGTTGCAGTGATTTGGTGGGAATGAGAAAGAAAATTGAACTGCTTCCAGACAGGAATAATGTGGAATTGTCAGAGAGTCTGGTGGAAGCGTCACCTGAGTGAGTGCAGAGCGTGGTGACTGCTCCAGCACAGCCCTGGGCCTCCAGGGAATGGCTGGGAATGGTTGGGAGTGGTTGGGAGTGGTTGAGCGTGATTGGGAGTGGTTGGGAATGGTTGGGAATGGGAACAGAAGCAGTGGAAGGTGTTCACGTGTCCTGATGCTCTCCCCAGCAGGAGAGGGGAAGGAGGATGAGGAGCTGGAGGATGAAGAGCTGGAGGATGAGGAGCTGGAGGATGAGAAGCTGGAGGCTCCTGAGGCTCCGTCAGCCAGGAAGAGCCGAGGCTCAGGAGCAGCAGGAGCAGGGTGGGCGTGGGGAGTGGTGTTCCACTTCTTCCTGGTGAGTGGGGAATGATCCAAACCCTCCCAGGGCTGGGGCTGGGGCTGGGGCAGGGGGATCTCCAGGACAGACTGACCCCAGCACAGGACAGACTGACCCCAGCCATCCCAGGGCACACCCCAGCCATGCCATTCCCTGTGGAATGCCCCCTGCAAACATCTCAGTGAGGGACAGGAGGGTCCCCTTGCCAGGATGGCTTTTCCCTGGTCAAACACATCACCCCAAAGGAATGTCAAACCCCAAAAGAGTGACAAACCCCAAAGGAATGTCCTGTCCCTTCAGCAAGAGCATGATCCCACCTCAGGCAGTGAGGGACTGACTGGGAGCTGCACTTGGGTGCTCTCTGGGAGGACCTGGCATCTCAACACCCCTTAAAGCCACTCATTCCCTGTGCCCCAGGCTTTATCTTCCCAGCAGTGATGAACCAAGGAGTTGTGAAGCTTGGAGAAGCCCTTTAAGGTCACTGAGTCCAACTGTGAAAAGGCACCGTGCCCCAAGCTAGGAGAGCTTTCCTCCCTTCAAATCCACCCCGAGTAACTCACTGGCAATCATTAACCCCCTGCCAGCAGGGAGACAACTGGAGTTAAAATCCAGGACACAAACTGGCTGTCCTTTGCCCCTGTGGCAGAGAAATCCTGGGAAACTGCCCCAGTTAATGTCCATCCCTGCTGCCCTCATCCCCTCCCAGTGAGCTCCACACTGATAAATTTGACCATTGCTGCAGTACTAAAAAATAACTTCGAAGATAAAAGCATCCTATGAAAACTGAGCTTTAGGATGGGAGGGAAAGGGACAGGGAAAGGGGAAAGAAAGGGGAAGGGGAAAGGGGAAAGGGGAAAGGGGAAAAGGGAAAGGGGAAGGGGAAGGGAAGGGAAAGGGAGGGAAATTTTTTCCTTCCCTTTGGAAAATCAGTTTTCAAAGAGTTTTCTGAGGGTCTGCTGAGGCCAAACTCAGCATGGCCACCCCCAGCCCACCCTGCTGGCATTCCCCAGCACCAGCTCAAGTGTCCCCCTTTGTTTCTCCCACACCCCCACAAAATGAACAGAAGGAAAAGCTTTTCCTCCCTCCTGGTGCCCTGTGGCACCTCCCCTGCACCCCCTCTCCTCCCAGGTCAATGTGCTCGTAATGGGGATGCTCAAGACCTTTGGGATTTTCTTCGTGGCTTTCCGAGAGGAGATGGGGGGATCCTCAGAGCAGCTCAGCTGGATCGGCTCCATCATGTCCTCGCTGCGCTTCCTGGGAGGTGAGCTCCTGTCCCAGGGCCCTGAGGGGGCTCTCTGCACCCCATTCCCACCCCATTCCCATCCCATTCCCACCCCAGACTGCTCCCAGCTGGACATGGCTGGCACCCACACGGGTCTGGGCAGGAATGTGCTCTAAACACTGGGATGTTCAGATGGGATAGTGGGAAAAATTGGGAAGAAATCCTTTCCTGTGAGGGAATCCTTCCCTTGTACAGGATTATATATTAGGATGTGGAGGGATTCTTCATCAGGAACTGGATTGACAGGACAAAGGGGAATGGGTTCAACTGGAAAAAGGGAAATTGGGGTTTGATATTGGAAAATCCTTTCTTTATGATTTTTCCTCCTGAGAAGCTGAGAGGCCTCAGGACCAAAATGTAAACAATGATTATCTGCTGCTGTGGAATGCAACAGGTGGATCTGTGATTGGGCTCATGTGGTTGTTTCTAATTAATGGCCAATCACAGTCAGCTGGCTCGGACAGAGTACAAGACAGCTGCCCTTGTTATGATTCTTTGACATTCTATTCTATTCTTAGCTTAGCCAGCCTTCTGAGATGAAATCCTTTCTTCTATTCTTTTAGTATAGTTTTAATGTAATATATATCATAAAATAATAAATCAAGCCTTCTTAAACATGGAGTCAGATCCTCATCTCTTCCCTCATCCTGGGACCCCTGTGAACACCGTCACACATTCCGGCTTTACAACTTTCACAAAAGTTGTGGAGTTTTGATTATCTCCACAAAACACTGTGTCCCCATGGCTGTGTCCCCTGTGCTGAGCTGTGTCCCCAGAGCTGATCTGTGTCCCCTGTACTGATCTCTTTCCCCTGTGCTGTGTCCCCAGGGCTGATCTGTGTCCCCATAGCTGTGTCCCCATGGCTGAGCTGTGTCCCTGTGTTGATCTGTGTCCCTGTGATGATCTGTGTCCCTGTGTTTCCCTCGCAGCCCCGCTGGTGTCCATGCTGTGTCCCCAGGGCTGTGTCCCCTGTGCTGAGCTCTGTCCCCAGGGCTGTGTCCCCATGGCTGATCTGTGTCCCCATGGCTGATCTGTGCCCCCATGGCTGATCTGTGTCCCCATGGCTGAGCTGTGTCCCTGTGCTGAGCTGTGTCCCTGTGTTTCCCTCGCAGCCCCACTGGTGTCCCACTGCTGTGCCCCCAGGGCTGTGTCCCCACGGCTGATCCGTGTCCCTTGTGCTGATCTGTGTCCCCATGGCTGATCTGTGTCCCCATGGCTGATCTGTGTCCCTGTTTCCCTCGCAGCCCCGCTGGTGTCCGCGCTGTGCTGCCGCCTGGGAGAGCGCCCGATCTCCATCCTCGGTGCTGGGCTGGTGGCTGGGGGCTGCCTGCTCAGCACCCAGGCCACCAGTGTGCCCTTCCTCTGCTTCTCCATGGGCTTCCTGCTGGGTGAGATGGGCATTGTTATAAATCAGCTCCTTCAGCCTTAAACCTGGGGAAAAGGGGGGTTTGTTCTGCAAGGTTTTGTTCAGGTGGAGGAGCTGAGGTGATCAGGGGCAGGATCAGGAGCTGTGCCAGGGGAGGTTTGGGTTGGATATCAGGAAAAGTTCTTCCCCGGAGGATGCTGGCAGTGCCTGCCCTGCCAGGGACACCCTGTGCCCCCAAACACAGCCCAGGGCCCTCCTGGGTTGGTGAGGATCAGACACTCATGCACAAAGCTGTGCCAGGGGAGGGCTGGGTTGGATCTCAGGAAAGGCTCTTCCCCAGAGGGTGCTGGCACTGCCCAGGCTCCCCAGGGAATGGGCACAGCCCCGAGGCTGCCAGAGCTCCAGGAGTGTTTGGGCAGCACTGCCAGGGATGCCCAGGGTGGGATTTGAGGGTAGGGTTGGATGTGATCCTGGTTGGATGTGATCTTTGTGGGTCCCTTCCACCTCAGGATATTCTGTAATTCCATGAACCTTCAGTTGTGGTTCCCCAGCATCTTTCAGAGCATCCTCAGCTCCTTTCTGTGACACACCCTGTGAATTCCCAAAGCTTCATGCTCAGAATAAAACACCAGTTCTAACATCCCAGTCCCAACCAACCTTGATATTTTCCTGGACCTACACGGATCCTGGCCTTTTAAAATCCCTTGTAAAAGGGCAGAGCCTCCCAGACACCAAACCCACCCACCAAATCCCGCTCTCCCTTGAGTGTGAGAGCAGAAATCCTCTCCTTTCAGCCAGGGACTGCCAGCCTGGGACAGCAGCACATGGAACCCCTTTTGGGCCTGGAAGGGATTTGTGCCTTCCCTTGGCCTCAGTGGGGGTTTCTGAGGAGGAGCTCTCTGGGCTGGGTTTCTGCAGCCTCCCCAGGGGTCAGAGACATCTCTGCCATGGGGCACCACGAGTCTCTCTGGGGTGGGAACCTTTATTCTCATTTTCCCCCTTCCACAGGGATGGAGTTTCTCTGTTGTGGGACCCCCTAATTCTCATTTTCCCCTTCCCCAGGGACAGGGTTTGCCTGATGGAATCTCTCTGTGGTGGGAGCTTTTATCCTCATTTTCCCCCTTCCCTCAGGGATGGAGTCTCTCTGTGGTGGGAGCCCTAATTCTCATTTTCCCCCTTCCCTAAGGATGGGCTTTGCCTGGTGGAGTCTGTCTGTGGTGGGAACCTTTACTCCCATTTTCCCCCTTCCCAAAGTTTCTGTGGTGGGAGCCTCTCACTCTCATTTTCCCTTCCCCAGGGATGGGCTTTGCCTGATGGGATTTTCTCTGTGGTGGGAGCCCCTGATTCTCATTTTCCCCCTTCCCTCAGGGATGGAGTTCTCTGGGGTGGGAGTTTCTTACTCTCATTTTCCCCCTTCTCTCAGGGATGGGTTTTGCCTGATGGAGTTTCTCTGTGGTGGGAACTTTTATTTTCATTTTCCTTAGAGATAGGCTTTGCCTGATGGAGTCTGTGGTGGGAGTCTCATATTGTTTTCCCCCTTCCCACAGGGATAGTCTCTCTGAGGTGGGAGCATTTACTCTCATTTTCCCTTTCTTAAGGATGGGCTTTGCCTGATGGGAGTTTCTCTGGGGTGGGATGGAGTCTCTCACTCTCATCTCCCCCCTTCTCTCAGGGATGGGGTTTCTCTGCGGTGGGAACCTTTATTCTCATTTTTCCCCTTCCCATAGGGATAGGCTTTGCCTGGTGGAGTCTCTCTCTTGTGAGAGCCTCTAAGTCTCATTTTCCCTTTCCCCGGGGCTGGGCTTTGCTGATGGAGTCTCTCACTCTTATTTTCCCCCTTTCCCCATGGATGGGTTTTGCCTGCTGGAGTTCTCACTCTCATTTCCCCCTTTTCCCCAGGGCTGGGCTTTGCCTGGTGGGAGTTTCTGTGCGGTGGAAGCCCCTAATTCTCATTTTGCCCCTTTCCCAGGGCTGGGCTTTGCCTGTCTGTACCAGGCAGCTGCAGTGGTCACAGCCAAGCGCTGCCGGGCTCGCCTGGGGCTCAGCAACGCCCTGGCCCGCTCGGGCATGGGGCTGACCTTCCTCATGGCCCCCTTCACCCAGCTGCTCATCGAGGCCTATGGATGGCAAGGTGAGAAGGCACAGGGTGCCCACAGCAGCTGTGGGTCCCTGGCAGTGCGCAAAGCCAGGCTGGATGGGTTTGGAGCAGCCTGGGATGGTGGGAGGAGAACCAGAACCATCCCATGGCAGGGGTGGGATGGGAGCAGCTTTAGGGCCCTTTCCAACCCAAACCATAATGTTTTTGTTCCCTGCCCTCCAAATCAGCCGCCCCCAGCCTGCAGAGGCACCCAGCTCAAAGCTGCCAAGGGTTCTGTAAATTCCAGCTCCGTGCACAGGAAAAAATTAATATATAATATATAAATTAATTTCAAGGAGCCAAAACATTTCATTGACAAGGAGCTTGCCAGTGCCAGGGTGATGCACAGCCTGGATTGCAGATCCCTGCTGCTGTACAGAACCTTGCTTCTCACTGAGCATAAAACAATCCCTCAATCCCCTGTGGCTGCCCCGGGATCCCTGGAAGTGTCCAAAGCCAGGCTGGAGCAATCTGGGACAGTGGAAGGTGTCCCTGCACATGGCAAGGGTGGAATGGATAGGCTTTGAGGTCCCTCCCAACCCAAACCATTCTCCAGGATATCTCTGAATACTCAGGATTCTCTGATTATAATTTGGCACCATTATAATTTGGAATTTCTCTCTGGAAGGCATTCAGAGTTTCAAACTCCTTCCTCTGAAGGCAGAGAAGCCTCTCCCATCCCAGTCATTCCCACAGCTGCCTTAAGAACACAAACAGATTCCAGTCTGGATCAGCCCTACACGGGCAAAGTCCTTCCAAAGCTGCAGCTGGATCCTGTTCCTTCCAATTCATCAGCTCTGAGAGGGAATTTGGAGAGATCTGGAGGCTCTAAGAGGCTCTTCCTAAAAGTTCAGCACACCAAGGAATGATTCTTCCTCTTCTAGGATAGTCTGGGGACATCTTGGTAATAATTAAACACTTTATCAGTCATTAAAATCAAAACACAGATCTCAGAAATCAAACCCAGAAATCCTTCATTAAAATCAGAGTCAAAGCACAGATCCCAGAAATCAAAACCAGAAATCCCTAATTTTACTGTAGTGTTTCAAGACCATCTTGAAGGTCCATCATGAGGAATGAGAAAAAGCAAAACATCCCAGAGGTCGCTGTGGATTTGTTCTGTGCATCACAGCAAAATGAACTTCCAGCTAGAAAAGCAGGAATAAAATCCCTGTTTTGTTAACTCCTCCAGAAGGAGAAGGCAAACAGAGCTTCCTCCATGGTCAGTGAAAATCACACTCTGTTCTAAAATGCCATTTCCTGCTGCTCCCCCCCTTTCCAACCCAAGAACAAACCCCCTTTTTCCTCCCTTCAGGCACTCTGCTGATTTTTGGAGGCATCATGCTGAACCTGGTGCCCTCCAGCATGCTGCTGTGGCCTGCCAGCCCCCAGCTGCCTCAGAAATCTGCCAAAAACCAACACCAGGGGTCTCCAGGGGCAGAGAAGGATCCAGAAACTCCTGGTGGGTGTTCAGATGGAAGCACCCGGAGGGAATTTCAGCTTCTCCATGCACAGGAGAGACTGGTGGTGCCCCATGGCAGAGATGTCTCAGAGCCAGCAGATCCATCTGCCTTGGGAGAGCTGCAGAAAGCCAGCCTGGAGAGCTCCTGCTCAGAAACCCCCACCAAGGCCAGGAGAGGCCACCAAACCCCTGCAGCCACCGCAAAGGAACCTCCTCAGCCTCTGCTGGACTTCTCCCCGCTGAAGGATCCCGTTTTCTACATCTTCACCTGGTCCTTCCTCTTCAGCCACCTGGCCTATTTCGTGCCCTTCTTCCACCTGGTGGCCAGAGCCAGGACCTTGGGCTTGAGCAGCAGGGATGGCTCCTACCTCATCGCCGTGGCTGGTAGGCACAGGGACCTTCACACCCCCAGCCCACAGGAAAACACCCCAATTCTGCCCAGAAATGGGCCCAGATGTGTCCTGGGATGGATCCTCCTGGGTGCTTCTCCCAGGGCCAGCTGGATGATCCCACATCCTCCCTGCTCCCAAAAACCCCAAATCTTCCCTTAAAAGGTGCTCTGTGCCCACCACAATCCCTGCTGGGCTTAAACCCACAGGCCAGAGGGGCATCCAAAGCCCTCCAGCTTGACCCAAAAGGGAGAAATTCAATAGTGGGGGAAAAACCTCCCACATTAATGAGGATCCAGGCATTTGGATTGGCACGTCCCAAACTCCAAGTGGGGAAAATGCAAGGCACAATCTCCAAAACCCAAACCCATGCCTGGCTTTGAGGCACATCCCCCAAAACCCAAACCCAAAAATTAAATTCATGCTTGGGTTTAAGGCACACTCCCCAAAAACCAAACCCCAAAACCAAACCCATGCCTGGTTTTAAGGCACATTCCCCAAAACCCAAACCCCTGCCTGGCTTTAAGGCACACTCCCCAAAACCCAAACCCTAAAACCCAAACCCATGCATGATTTTAAGACACACTCCCCAAAACTCAAACCCCAAACCCATGCCTGGTTTTAAGGCACACTCCCCAAAACCCAAACCCCTGCCTGGTTTTAAGCCAGGATTAACACTAAAGCCATGCTGGGGTAAGAAAGTGGCTCCAGCCTGAGTCAGCAGCAAATATTTTATTGTACAAAAATACAAAACTTTTATTTCTGCAGTGCTGGGGAATATTCAGCAGTGTGGGGTTGTGGAGGTGTTAGGATTCCCCAAGAATTAATGGGATATTTGGGATTAGGAGTGGGAGGGACACAGGGCTCAGTGGGACATGAGCTCATTCAAGAGCTCTTGATCTTTGCTTCATAAAAATGTACCAAGAAATCTAAAAAAAAAGCTCTCAAAACCTAAACTCTCAAAACCTAAACTCTAAAAACCCCAACAACTAAAAGGCTGCTGAGCCTCTAAAATATCTGGGTCTAAAATGTCTATAAAACGCCTGGGGTTTTAGAAAAATTAAATTTTAGAATTTAAATGATTATAAAATAAATAAAAAAAAAATTAGGGTTAGTATAAATATTCAAGTGTAACACAAATAATGTATAAAAATAATATAAATAATATATTATAAAATACTGTAAAATAGAACTATATTAGAAAATATATGTAATATTGTATTATAATGTATAGTAAAAATAGAAAAATATAAAAAATATGCAAATACTAAATAATAAATACAGTAATGTGAAAGTATAATTTACCTATATGAAATACACTTATAGAAGTTAATATAGTAATAAATAGAAAAAATATAATATAATATTATATTATACATGTATATTATATTAATTATATTACTGATAATAAACTATAATTGGAATAATACAGAACATTATGAATATAAAATATAAAATAGATAAATTTATAATATCTAATAAATTTATATGAAGCAATAATATCTAAAAATATCTCGAAATGACACTATTTCAACATTACACAAAGTCAATATATTACATATACTAAAAATAATAAATAAAATACTATAAAATATAGCTAAATTTATACCTAATAAATGTATATGAAATAATATTATATAAAATATCTATAAATAGAATTTCTATATTACACAAAGTCAAGTATCAATATATTACATATACTACAAATAATAAATAAAATACTATAAAATACTATAAAATAGAGCTAAAATTATAATATCTAATAAATGTATATGAAGTAATAATTTATTAAAAATCTAGAAATAATAGAATTTCTATATTACGCAAAGTCAAGTCTCCAATATATTACATATACTATAAATAATTAAAATAATTATATAAAATACTATAAAATACAACTAGATTTTTAATATCTAATGAATTTATATGAAGCAATAACATATAAAAATACCTAAAAATAAGAGAATTTCAATATTGCACAAAGTCAAATCTTAATATATTACATATACTACAAATAATAAATATAATCATATAAAACACTGCAAAATCCAGCTAAATCTATATATCTAATAAATTTATATTAAGTAATATATATAAAAATGCCTAGAAAAACCAGAATTTTAATACTACACGAAGTATCAATTTAATGCATATACTATAAATAATAAAAATGATAATATAAAATACTATAAAACATAGCTAAATGTGTAATATCTAATAAATGTATATGAAGTAATAATATATAGGAATATCTAGAAATAACAGAAATTCAATATTACACAAAATCAAATCTTAATATATTACATATACTACAAATAATAAAAAATAATAATATAAAATACTATAAAATCCAACTAAATTTATGATATCTAATAATTGTATATGAAGTTTATAGTATTTGTAAAAATAATAGTTTATAAAAATAATTTATAAAAATATCTAATAATCAATAAAATAATTTATAAAAAATATCTAATAATGTATGAAATAATTTATAATAATAATTTATAAATAATTTATAAAATAATAATTTTATAAATAATTTAAATTTTGACTAAGAATTTAGAAAAATAATTTATAAAATAATAATTTATAAAAAGAAATATAATTTATAGAAATATCTAAAAATAATAATTTATGTAATTTATAAATAATTTATAAAAATACCTAGAAATAATAGAATTTAAAGATGACACAAAGTCTCTGAGCGCTCCTGTTCCCTCAGGCATCACGGAGATGCTGAGCCAGCTGCTCTCGGGCTGGGTGGCCGACCACAACTGGACCAAGAAGTACCATTTCCATGTCACCTACCTGCTCCTGAGCGGGGCCACCAACCTGCTGGGGCCGCTGGCCACCTCCTTCCACCTGCTGCTGGCCTACACCGTGGCCCTGGCCACCTTCTGTGGGGGCTTCATGGCCCTGGTGCTGCCCGTGCTGGTGAGTGCTGATGGGCCCAACGGGGCTGGGGGGGTGATCCTGTCCCAGAACCACCCAGAACCATCCCAAAACCATCCTGGGACACCAGAACCATCCTGGGACAACCAGAACCATCCCAAAACCATCCTGGGACAACCAGAATCAAAATCATCCCAGAATCACCTGAGAGGGACACCCAGAACCAGAACCATCCCAAAACCATCCTGGGACACCAGAACCACCCCAAATCACCTGAGACACCCAGAAACAAAAACAGAACCATCCCAGAATCACCTGGGACACCAGAACCAGAACCATCCCAGAATCACCTGGGAGGGACACCCAAAACCATTCCAGAACCAGAACCATTCCAGAATCACCTAGAACCCTTCCAGAACCATCCCAGAATCACCTAGAACACCCAGAACCATCCCAAAACCATCCTGGGACACCCAGAACCAAAACCAGAACCATCCCACAATCACGTGGGAGGGACACGCAGAACCAGAACCATCCCAAAATCATCCTGGGACACCCATAACCATCCCAGAATCACCTGGGACACCCAGAACCATCCCAAAATTACTTGGGACACCCAGAACCATCCCAGAATCACCCGGGACACCCAGACCTGCAGCAGGGTTCCCCTGGACACCCCAGGGATGCTCCCAGGGCTGGAGCCAGCCTGGAGAGCTGGGAGTGCTCAGCCTGGAGAGGAGAAGGCTCCAGGGAGAGCTCAGAGACCCTGCCAGGACCTAAAGGGATCCAGATCCCCTTGGAGCCCCTTCCAGTGCCCAAAAGGGATCCAGGAGATTCCCTAAGAGCCCCTTTCAGTGCCTAAAGTGGATCCAGGAAGAGTTCAAAGCCCCTTGCAGAGCCTAAAGATGATCCAGGAGATTCCTTAGAGCCCCTTCCAGAGCTAAAAGGGGCCCCAGGGAGAGCTCAGAGCACTTCCAGAGCTAAAGGGGTTTCAGGAGATCCCCTTGGAGCCCCTTCCAATGCCCAGAAGGGATCCAGGAGATTCCCTAAGAGCCCGTTCCAGAGCCTAAATGGGATCCAGATCCCATTGGAACCCCTTCCAGAGCTAAAGGGGCTCCAGGAGAGCTGGAGAGGGACTGGGGACAAACGATGGAGGGACAGGACACAGGGAATGGCTACCACTGTCAGAGGGCAGGGATGGATGGGATATTGGGAATTAGGAATTGTTCCCTGGGAGGTTGGGCAGGCCCTGGCACAGGTGCCCAGAGCAGCTGTGGCTGCTCCTGGATCCCTGGAGGTGCCCAAGGCCAGGCTGGACAGGGCTGGGACCAACCTGGGACAGTGGAAGGTGTCCCCCATGGTGGGGTGGAATGAGAAGGGCTTGAAGGTCCCTTCCAAGCCAAACCATTCTGTAATAAATGCAAATATCTGCAATATCTCAGAGCTGGCTGGGCCCAGCTCAGCCCATCAGGCCAGGGCTGCTCCTGGCTCCCCTGGCAGGGGAACTGCTGTGCCCAGGGCTGTGGTGTCCCCTGAGCCCAGGGCTGCCTCTGGGCTCCCCGAGTGTCCCAGGGCTCAGCACCAGCCCTGAGCACCCTCACACTGAAGGGGCAGCTGAAGGATTCACACCTGAGTGAGGGGAGCAGAATTTGGGGCCTGGCCACTGCTGCTGCTCCCTCCTGTGTGGGCCCAGCCAAAGAAAATCCTCTGAAACACCAAATTATAAAAGAGATATTAAATACCTCTTTCAAATAATGAAATGTAGTGGGGTTAGATTAGATTTTAGGAAAAAATCCTGCCCTGTGAGGGTGCTGGGGCCCTGGCACAGGTGCCCAGAGCAGCTGTGGCTGCCCCTGGGTCCCTGGCAGTGCCCAAGGCCAGGCTGGATGGGGCTTGGACCAGCCTGGGACATTGGAAGGTGTCCATGGCAGGGGTGGAATGGATGGGCTTTGAGGTCCCTTCCAACCCAAACCATTCTCCCAGGATATCTCTGGATACCCAGAATTCCCTGATCCAGGCAGGGAGGCCCCATTATAATTTGGAATTTCTCTCTGCAAGGCATTCAGAGTTTCAAACTCCTCTGAAGGCAGAGAAGCCTCTCCCATCCCAGCCATTCCCACAGCTGCCTTAGGGAGGCAAACTGTTTCCAGGCTGGATCAGCCCTACAGGGGCAAAGTCCTTCCAAAGCTGCAGCTGGAGAGGAAATTCCACAGGAAAAAAGAATTAAATAATCTCTTGTGCTTTAAAAAAAAAAAAAAATCAATTAATCTCTTGTGCAATGCATTCCTATGAAGCCAATCACCAATTATCCATTTTGGTTTCCAAACAGGTGGATCTGGTGGGTGTGGAGAAGCTCCACAGCAACCTGGGCTTTGCTGCTTTCTTTGCAGGGATAGCAGCCATGGGAGGACCCCCTCTAGCAGGTGAGTGATGATTTATAAAACCCTCACCCACCCCAGAAATCCAGGGATAAACCATGCTGCTGCTTCACTCTCCCACAGGGATCCATCCCAGGGTGGGTTTTCTGTTCAAACAGAGAGAGAAAAAACCAAAAATCCTATTTCAGAAATGTATTTTTATAGGCAGGCAACATTTTCCTTGGGAATTTACAAAATCCAACCAGCAGCTTGGAAAATGCTGCCTGGAACAGAGAGAGAAAAAACAACAAAAATCCTATTTCAAAAATGTATTTTTATAGGCAGGCAACATTTTGGTTGGGAATTTGCAAAATCCAACCAGCAGCTTGGAAAATGCTGCCTGGAATATTTACAAAATGCTGCCTGGAATATCTGGAAAATGCAGTGAAGCCCCATGTGCAGAGCTCAGCCCTGAGCACAGCAGGGTAACAAGCACATTTCCATGGATTTTACTCCCAGTGGTGTTATTTTAACACTGAACTTGGACTGGAGGGACTGGAGGGGAAGCAAGGACAGACTGAGCAAGGTTCCCACCAGGCAGAGGCACTGACACACCAGGAGAAGCCTCAGTAATCTCTTGTTTTGACAGAGATTACACAGCTCAGCCACCACAGCTCTGGGCCCTGAGATAAGGAGCATGAAAAGCCTTTGCTCTTCTCCCTCTGCCAGGAAACCAAGGCAGCTGGGAGGATTTGGGAGATTTCAAGTGCTTAGAAAGGAGTGTCCAGCATCTCTAAGGAACAGGGGAATTGTTCTCATCCAAACAGCTTGGCCAGGACAAAGCTTTCCCTTCCCTGCAGCCCTGGGCAGCATTTGAGGGGGGATTCTGCCCCTCTGCCCCACTCAGAGCTGCTCCAACCCTGGGGAACATCAGGAGAACTTGGAGCTGCTGGAGATAAACCAGAGGAGCCCATGGAGATCTCCAAGGGTTGGAGCCAGGCTGGGAGAGCTGGAGTGCTCACCTGGAGAGGAGAAGGCTCCAGGGAGAGCTCAGAGCCTAAAGAGGATCCAGGAGAGCTGGAGAGGGACTGGGGACAAGGGAGGGAGGGACAGTGTCACTGTCATATTTTATTAAATATCCTGGCAAAAGGATTTTTCATAAAATATGACAGTGACAGGACAGGACAGAGGGAATGGCTTCCACTGCCAGAGGGCAGGGATGGATGGGATATTGGGAAGGAATTGTTCCCTGTGAGGGTGGGCAGGCTCTGGCACAGGGTACCCAGAGCAGCTGTGGCTGCCCCTGGATCCCTGGCAGTGCCCAAGGCCAGGCTGGATGGGGCTTGGAGCACCCTGGGACAGTGGAAGTTGTCCCTGCCATGGCAGGGGTGGAATGAGAAGAACTTTAGGGTTCTTTCCAACCCAAACCATAATTTTTTGTTCCCTCCCCTCCAAATCAGATGCCCCCAGCCCACAGAGGTGCCTGGCTGGAAGCTGCCAAGGGTTCTGTAAATTCCAGCTCCATGCAAAGTTTCAGCAACTTTCTTTCTATAAAAATTCTATTCTTTCTATAAAAATTAATATTCCCAATCAATATCCTTGGGCTGGTTCTGCTGTGTCTGTAGATGCAATTTCAAAGAGCCAAAACATTTCATTGACCAGGAGCTTCCCAGTGCCAGGGTGATGCACAGCCTGGATTGCAGATCCCTGCTGCTGCACAAGGTGTGCACTGAGCACAAAACAATCCCTCAGTTCCCTGTGGGTGCCCCTGGATCCCTGAAGTGTCCAAAGCCAGGTTGGATGGGTTTGGAGCAACCTGGGACAGTGGAAGGTGTCCCTGCCATGGCAGGGGGTGGAATGAGAAGAACTTTAGGGTTCTTTCCAACCCAAACCATCATTTTTCATTCCTTGCCCTCCAAACCAGCTGCCCCCAGCCTGCAGAGGCACCCAGCTCAAAGCTGCCAAGGGTTCTGTAAATTCCAGCTCCAAGCACAGGAAAAAAATGAATATTCCCAATCAATATCCCTGGGCTGGTTCTGCTCTGCCTCTGGATGCAATTTCAAGGAGCCAAAACATTTCATTGCCAGGGTGATGCACAGCCTGGATTGCAGATCCCTGCTGCTGTACAAGGTGTGCACTGAGCACAAAACAATCCCTCAGTTCCCCTAAATCCCCTGGCACAGCAACACAGCAGGGGCTAAACACCCTGGCTGTCACTTATCCACACTCACACTGCAGTTAAAAAAGTTAAATTTCCATCCAGCTGCAATATTTCTGCACTAATGAGAAGCTTTTTGCTCTCTGCAGTGGATTTGTAAAGCAGGTTTCCTGCAAAAAGCTTTCCACAGAAATCGGGCTTAAGGCAGGTGGGATAAATAAAGGCCAAATAAAGCCAAGGAGCAAAACAATTCCTGATCCATCTCATTACAGGCAGAGCAAGATGGAAACAATCCAGAGCTCAAGGATCCAAGATAAATTCTGCAATTTTCTCTTGCGATGCAGTTTTAAGTGCGAAAACTGAGTGAGATCAAAAACTCCTGATGAAATGTCCAAAACCATCTGCTCCTTGCAGAATGCAGGATTTAAATACTCTGTGAGACCCTGGGATTTGGTGCTCTTACCTCCCAAAAAATTTGAGTTTAAAATTACAATTTCATCAAACTCAAGTGTTCTTACACAGTGGAAATAATGATGATGGATAATGAGAACTGCAAAGGTTAAAATTGCCTAATTTAAATATTAGACCAAAGCCAATGCAAGGAAAAGATGACTTACCTGCAAATCTGTTCAGCTGAAAGCCCTGAAATCCAGGGCAGGACCCAAAGGGAATGTTTGGAGTCTCCTTCAGAGCTCCCCATCCACAGGCACCTCTGGATGCTGAAATAACCCAGCCCAAAGCAGAATAAACATTATTTTGGCAGCCTGGAGCAAGCTGAGGAGAGAAGGGCACAGTTTGTTTCCACAAGCAGTACAAATCACTGACTCAAAATGCAAAAGAGCTGAACCCAAGCATGTAATGCAAATTCTAGAAAAGATTCCAGCCCCCAGAGGACAAACTGCAGTCCCAAGAAATTTGGGTGGCGAAAAGGGAGAGGATGGAGTCATCAAAAGCTCTGCTGCCACACGTATTTAGATGTTTGCTAAATTTTACCTTCTCCTTCCACTGAATTTTACTCCTCGGGGCATCAAGAATAAATAAAAATTCTGATTAAAGATCAGCAGTGCCATTTAAACAGCCTGAGCCAGCTGGTAGCAGCAGCAGTGCTGGGAATGTTTGGTTTGGATTTCATTGCTGGGATTTACCAGCATTCCTCACAAAACTGCTGCTTTGCTGGGGTTTGAACACCACAAGCTCCCAGTTCAGCTTTCTGCAGCAGGAGTGATTATTGTTTTGTTTTGGAAATGAATTTGGGGCACAGAGACTGGAGTTGCTTCAGAAGGTTGGGCTGTGATGAAGTTGTGGTTGTGCTGCCAGTGAGGCAATGCTGGTAAATCCCACTGCACCTAAATCCCATCCAGCACCAAAAAAACCCAGGAAAAAAAAGAAAATTAAGAAATATCCTGAAGGATATTTTAAGAATTGCAATGAATCAGAGCTCTGCTGGAGCACTCTGTTCCTCTCACAAATAACTACGTCAGCATTTCTTTCCAAATCCCAGAGACTTCCAGGCAGCAGGAACAGAAACCCCTGGGAAGGAACCCCAGGGTCATGGGAGAGGCCCCCAGTGCAGCAGCAGGGCATGGATCCCACAGGGAATGGGTCCCAGCAGGGCCTGGAACCCAGGAGGGAATGGATCCCACCAAGAGGTGGATCCCATCATGGGATGGATCCCACCATGGGATGGGTCCCACCAAGGGGTGGATCCCAGCAGGGGATGGGTCCCATGAGGGGATGGATCCCAGAGGGTATGGATCCCATCTGGGCATAGATCCCACCACAGGATGGATCCCACAGGGGATGGATCCCACCAAGGGATGGATCCAAAGAGGGGATGTATTCCAACATGGGATGGATCCCACCAAGGGATGGATCCCATCAAGGGATGGATCCAAGGAGGGGATGGATCCTACCAGGAGATGGATCCCACCACAGGATTGATCCCAGCAGGGATGGATCCCACCATGAGGTGGATCCCAGCAGGAGATGGAACCCACCATGGGATAGATCCTACCAGGGGATGGATCCCACCACAGGATGGATCCCAGCAGGGAATGGATTTCACCACTGCCAAAGGGCAGGGATGGATGGGAGAGATCCCAACATGAGATGGATCTCACTACAGGATGGATCCCACCATGGGATGGATCCAAGGAGGGGATGGATTCCAACATGGCATAGATCCCACTATGGGAGGGCTCCCAGCAGGGGATGGATCCCACCAGGGGATGGATTCCAACATGTGGGATGGATCCCACTGTGGGAGGGGTCCCAGCAGGGGATGGATCCTACCAGGAGATTGATCCCACCATGGGAAAGATCCCAGCAGGGGATGGATCCCACCATGGGGATGGATCCTATGAGGGGATGGATCTCGTGAGGGGATGGAGCTCACCAGGGGATAGATCCCACTATGGGAGATCCCACCAGGGCATGGATCCCAACATGGGATGGATCCCATTATGGGATGGGTCCCATTATGGGATGGATCCCACCACGGGATTGATCCCACCAAGGGACGGATCCCATCCCAACAGGAGATGGATCCCACCATGGCATGGATCCTCCTCTCCAGCTGCAGCTCCTCCAGCACGTGGCTCCCAGGCCATCCCTGAGGAGCAAACACACACAGGGACTCCCCCTGAGACAGCAGTGAGCCAGGACAAACTGAAACTGGGCAAAAGCAGCTGTGCTGTGCTTTATAAACCCTTCTGTGGAAATCTACAGCAGGGAATGTCAGTGCCTCTGCCCCAGCACAGATCCCAAACCTTACTGGCACTTTCCCTGAGCCCAGGACCTCAGGGACTGCATCCTGTCCCTTCCTGGGTTTGAGAAGCCAAATTCTGGGTCAGATCTGCTGTTTCTGGACCTCAGGGACTGTATCCTGTCCTTTCCTGGGTTTGAGAAGCCAAATTCTGGGTCAGATCTGCTGCTTGTATGACTCAGGAACTGTATCCTGTCCCTTCCTGGGGTTAACAAGCCCAGGTTTGGGGCAGATCAGCCATCTGTGGAACTCAAGACTGTATCCTGTCCCGTCCTGGGTTTGAGAAGCCAGGTTTGAGTCAGATCTGCTGTTTGTGTGACTCAGGGAAGCCCATGGATGTGTGGATTCCATGGATGTCTGGATTCCATGGATGTCTCCAGAGGAATTGCATTTCACACCAGCAGCAGATCTGGCTCAGCTGCTGCCCCACACCCACCCACCCCACCCCACATTTGGGACTGGATTAGGGGTTTTATGTGCAGCAGCAGCATCTCCCAGAAGAATCTAATTTAGCAGAATCTAAAACTGCAGATTTTAGATTCAAAGAGTGGAACTCTCCACCTTTCAAAGTCCTGCCCAGAGCCCAGATGATTTGCCAGGACCAAACCCAACACTTGGAGGTCACTTTAAAAGGTGACCTGAACCCTCCAGACATTCCTGAGGCTCAGTGGAATTCAGCTTTTCCTTTTAAGTCCTCCCAGAGCTACTTTTATCAAGTTCACTTCCAGCTCCTGGCCTGGGGTGTCTCCTGTTAGAAAAAGGACATGAAACTGGGTCTGCTCACAGAAAACAAGGCTGGAGAACATCTGGTTTGCAGCCCAGATGTTGCAAATACCAACATGTGCAAGTCATCCCTTCAATCCAAGAGAATCTTCCATCAGCCACTTTTGGCCCACTTACTTAAACAGGAAAAAAAAAAATAAAAATCAGGGATTAAATTCACATTAAATTAGACACCATGTCCACTACAAGGATCAAAGTTGGCTCTGGGAAAAATGACCTGCATGTCATTTCCTTACAGGAAATGCTGCCCAGGAAGAGTTAAAATAATTTAAGGGAAATAAGGGAAATATCTGAGCAATTCTTAGATGAGAACACACATCCTTTGCCTCCCACCCACCTCCCTGAATTATTTTTTTCACTGAGAAAAATCCTCCAGCTTTAATAACAACCTTCTCTCCTGCAGGGTGGCTCTATGACTACACCCAGACCTACGCCTGCTCCTTCCTCTTTGCTGGAGCCTGTGCTCTCATCTCACCCCTTTCCTTCTTCTTCGAGCCTGCAGCCCAAAAATGGAAGCTAAAAAAAGCCAATTTGAACAAAACGTGAAGTTTTAAAGGCTGGGCTTTGATCATATCTACGTGGGAAAGCAATTGCCTGAACTGGGAAGGATCAACAGCAGCAACACTGAAAATACCAGAATATTCCAAAAGAATTGGAATTTTTGGATGTCAGATTCAGTTTGGATTGCTGGATATTTGTGGTGATTAAAGCCAGCTGAGAAATGCACAGTGTGAAGTGTGTGGGGGAAATGCAGCCCATGGCGGTGCCTCAGCTCCTGAGCTGGGTTTTTGTGCCTCTCAGATTGAATCCTCAGCTCTGTCCTGACTCACTCACCTGGTGGCATGAGCAGCTGCCAGAGATTCCAGCTCATTCTGCTCACTGGCCCTGGGGAGGGATGAGGGCAGGGAGATCCTTCCTTCCATGAGGGTCCTGCAGGAGCTCCTCTCTCTGGGGCAAGGATGCTGCAGTGGGGCCACTCCACATCCCAGCACAGTCATTGCCACAGCACACACGACCTGGAGGCAAAACCAGTTTAATTAAAGCCAGATAATATAAATAATATAATAATATAATATAAACCACAACACAGCAAAGTCAGAGACCAAACCCACCCTCCCCAGCTTCCCCACCCTCCAGAGACTCCTGTCATGGACATATTTTATGAAAAATCCTTTCATTAGGATCTTTTCTCCTGAGAAGCCTCAGAGGAAAAGAAAAACAATAATTATCTGCGGCTGTGGAATGCAACAGGTGCATCTGTGATTGGTCTCATGTGGCTGTTTTTAATTAATGGCCAATCATAGTCCAGCTGTCTCAGACTCTGGTCAGTCACAAGATTTTATTATAATTTCATTCCTTTCTATTCCTTTCAAGCCTTCTGATGAAATCCTTTCTTCTATACTTTAGTATAGTTTTAGTAGATCATTTTCTTTTAATATAATATATATAATAAAATAATAAATCAGCCTTCTGAAACACGGAGTCAAGATTCTCATCTCTTCCCTTGTCCTGGGATCCTGTGAACACTCCCAGGGATTCCATTCCAGAGGCAGCTCCAGTGCTGAGCCTGGATCCATCCAGCATCCCACAGATTTAATTTGGATGGATAAGACACAACATAGCAGCCTGGAATTTCTTTCCAGTAGTGAAAGTCCCATTTTTTTTAAATCTGGTATTTAAAATTATTATTGTAAAAAATTTGGTATTTGAAATAAGGATGGTAAAAAATTGGTATCTGAAATTATGATGGTAAAAAGTTTGGTACTTGAAATTATGATGGTAAAAATTTGGTATTCGAAATCATGGGGGTAAAAAATTGGTATCTGAAATTATTATGGTAAAGAGTTTGGTATTTGAAATTATTATGTCAACCTGGGATATTCATTCCAGCCAATGGCATTATCCTTCTTTTTACCTTTCCTTTTTTATTATTAATAATAAATAATATTATTTATTATTAATAATAAATATTAATAATATTTTATTATTACCTTTTCTTTATTAACAAATGATAAATATTATATTATATTATATTATATTATATTATATTATATTATATTCTCCTTTTAATTATTAAGGAGATTTAATTATCCTATTTTTTTTCTTACCCCTTTTATTCCTCATCCTTTTTTTTTTAATATGAAGGCAGCAAGAGACTTGTTTCCCCTATAGAAACACTCCCTTAAACTGTGAAACAGGTTATTTCAAGCCCAAAATGAGATGGTTTATATTTAATAAAAAGCTACAGAATACTTCAACAGTTTCAAGGAGCTCCAACACTGTCATAGGTAAGAAAATTCCTCTACAGATGATGGACCAAATCCAGCAATTACACAATTACACAGTGCCAAGGAAAATGTGCTTAAAACAGGGAAAAATTTCATGGAATGGGGAATCAGTGCTACAAACCAGATCATTTTTCATATGCTGTTTGACAGCTTTTCCTAGAAATCTGCAGGCACAAAATGCTTTGGGAATTGTCCTTTTCACTGGAACCATCATCAATTTATACCTGAAACCATCATCAATTTACACCTGAAACCATCATCCCTTTACACCTGAAACCTCAGCACCCACCACTCTGGGGCTGGGATGAAGCAGAGAATATCTGATCCAGGACAGGATCCCCAGTGGGGCATTTTCCAAGGCACCAGGATTTCTGGATAAAATTATTATTTCTGAGGTGTTTAAGGCACTGGGAGTTGCAGTGGGATGAACCAAACTCAGCCAATCCTGCACTGAGGCCTCAGCCAAACCCTTCTACAGCAGGGATTAAACTTGCATTTAAAAAATTTTGAGTTTTTACCTCATGAAACAATAAAGTTCCTTACTCTCACCAACTCAAAAATACCAGCAGCTTTGGTTTGCTGCTCTAACAGGAACCATGTGGGAGGTTTTCCAATCCTAAAGCTTTAGGATTTTAGCATTTCTTTCTGGAAGGCATTTTAGGATTTTAGGGTTTTTTTCTGGCTTTTTACAGAGTGGGACCAAAGCTCTGTGGGAATGGAAAAAGCCACCCCAGCTGCTCCCTCTCTACACAATTCCAACACTTTTATGCTCTGCTCTCTCCTGTAAATGAAGCCTCTGCTCAACACCTTCCTCCTTTCAACACAAGCCCTGTGGTATTTTCACCTCTTTTACCACCAAGAAACAACTCAGCAGGATGTGGTGTCCACACCTCCCACCCCATCCATACCCACTGGAATTATTTTATATTATTTATACATTATTTTAATTCATTTATATATATTATTTAAATTGTATATTATTTAATATACCTTTAAATATTTTTATAGAAATATTTTATCTACACATATTATTTCTATTTCATATTATTCCATATAAACGTTTATATATTAATATAGAATTATTTATTTTTATTCCATATAAACGTTTATATATTAATATAGAATTATTTATTTATACATATTACTTATATTTTATATCACTTTATAGATTTTATACATTTTATATATAGTTATTTATTTATACATATTCATATTTTCTATTATTTATAAATATATTTCTATATTTATAGATATATTTATAATTAACAAATATATCATTTATATTTTTTTATTTATAATTTATAAATTGTACACCCCTGCGTGTCCCGGCTACCAGCTGCAGGTTTCCCTTCCTTGTTCTGTATTCTGCCTCACTGAAAGGCAGGATACAGCTGCTAGAACATGGATTTAGGCATTTCAAAGTACCCAAAATAAATCTCTCCCTGTCCCGCACACTCTGTAGTCAGGCTCTGCCCTTGATAAAAATAATAATTTACTGAAAACCAAGGCTGTGACTTTCCCATCTGCTCCATCAAATCTCCCCTCCAAACCTGCAGGATCTTAAGGAGAGTCCTGCCCTCTCTCCATCAGAGCAATGTCACCAATTCCTTACCCTTATTTAGCAAAACTGGAGTTCTTGCCCCCCCAGTGTCACCAATTCCTTACTCTCATTTAGCAAAATTGGAGTTCTTGTCCCCACAATGTCACCAATTCCTTACCCTTATTTAGCAAAACTGGAGTTCTTGCCCCCCCAGTGTCACCAATTCCTTACTCTCATTTAGCAAAATTGGAGTTCTTGTTGCACCCTCTTTCCTTCTGCAGAGGAGCAAACAGCTCAGGAGCTCCCATTTCCCATATCCCAGCCCATGGATGGGCATCACCAGCCTTTATTTACCCCCAGAATAATCCTGCACAGGATTATTATTAATTACTGATTATTAAAGCACCTTTCTCCAGCCAAAATTACCTCTTGTCTATCCAAAAGTGTTGAGGAAATCAATGCCCACAGTGAGAAACTCCTGCACCATCCTGCCAGTGGGCTGGGAAGGGGGTGAATAGTCTTCAAAACTTTTGTTTTTTCTACTGAGCAGGCTCAGGCTGGTGGTCAAACACTCCTCTGCTCACACCTGGGGCTCAGGAGCTCCCATTTCCCACATCCCAGCCCATGGACGGGCACCACCAGCTTTTATTTACCCCCAGAATAACCCTGCACAGGATTATTATTAATTATTGATTATTAAAGCAGCTTTCTCCAGCCACAATTACCTCATATCTATCCAAAACTGTTGAGGAAATCAATTCCCACAATGAGAAACTCCTCCCAGGAGCCCTGCACCATCCTCCAGTGGGCTGGGAGGGGGTGAAGAGTCTTCAAATTTCTGTTTTTTCCACTTAGCAGGCTCAGGCTGGTGGTCAAACACTCCTCTGCTCACACCTGGGGCTGGGAAGGCAAGCACAGAACAGATGGTTCAGTTCCCCTGGCAGCTCTGAAAACCAAATTCATTTATTTACTAAATGCAGGATACAACATGTGCATGGGAGGAAGCAGCAGCGAGGATGGCAACACCTGCCCCAGGAAGGATTTTCCATCCCATTGAAGCCATGGTGCAAATAAATAATTTCCTAAAGATGTTTTTGCACAGTGAAGAACACCACAGGGCGTTCATGTGCGGGGTTGCTGGGACACAAATGAGGTTAAAATCTGCAATCTGAGGTGGACTACAAAATCCCTTTTGTCCCTGCTCCCTTCACAGAATCCCAGAATTTTTAAGGTTAGAAAAACCCTCCTGGATTGTCAAATCCCCACCTTGTCCCCAGCCCAGAGCACTGAGTGCCACCTCCAGGCATTCCCTGGGTACCTCCAGGGATGGGCAAACCTCCCTGGGCAGCCCCTGCCAAGGATGAGCACCCTTTCCATGGGGAAATTATTCCTGGAAATTTTCCCCTTATATTCCTTTAATTTTCCTTACATTTCCCTTAGAATCCCTTAATTTTCCTTACATTCCACTTACATTCCCTTTATTTCCCTTACATTCCCTTTATTTTCCTTACATTTCCCTTATAATCCCTTTATTTTCCTCACATTTCCTTAATTTTCCTTACATTTCCCTTACATTCCTTACATTTTCCTCATATTCTCCTTATTTTCCTTACATTTCCCCTATATTCATTACATTTCCCTTACATTCCGTTTCCCTTACATTCTCTTAATTTTCCTTACATTTCCCTTACATTCCCTTAATTTCCCTTACATTCCTCACATTTCC